CATTTCAACTACCATAGAATAATTGTCGAATAGTATGGCATGAACCTTCACAACGAGTGACTGCCGGAGTCGGGTGACCATACTTGTTCAACAATGTGGTAATACGTCCATGTTCTCATACACTAATTGGGAAAATGCCGCTATATTTTTGTATTATACCAGTGATAACCCATCCCTTCCTATTCATCATTGCCGTCGGTCAAGCCTGCGGCGAAGAAAAGGGGGCATAATCCATTTTTGGCGTATGCGCAATTTTCAGGAAGTGAAATATAATCAATGAAAATAATGCTTCAAAACAGAGTTCTGTGTTTACTTAATCGATGTAAAAATTGCCCTATTTCACTATGACATCACTGCTTGTTTATGTGGGGGATTGAATCGCCAAATCCAATAGAAAATTCAACAAAATTTGCTCCTTGCCAAACAGTTTCATCTAAAATGGCTGGTTTTCAGATATAATATGTATAAATATGTACTAAAAATATTCTGAGCATTTGCTGGCTATTCTACTTTTCGTGGATTGATACGGGTTTTAGAACAATTTTCGGTGAATTTGCGTTGATCTGACCCCCTCCGACGACCATAATCCATTGCGTTTAAACAATAGATTGTTTTGATGTGAAGTCATAGTGAAATTGGGCAATTAGAAACTGGGAACAAAAAAAAATTTTGGCAAGTCTTTGAGCATATGCGCTATTATAACGGAAGTCCAAGAAATGCTGGTCTCAAGAAATGGATTATTGCCAGCAGAGCCCAGATCCCTTGTTCGTCGCCGCTTGCCAAAAGAAACGCAGGCTCTGGGGTATGAAATCTGAAGATGGGCCGGCGAAAGCAGGGGAGCACGGCAAATGCGGGCAAGCGCGCGGCTTTCATATATTGGGTTTCCTGTGGTAAAAATGGGCTTCCTGTGGTGATGACGAATGCGGTTTTTTCGAAAAAATATAGTGCGGGCTCAATCCAATATGGCGCTACACGTAAGTTTATTCATATATAGCCCAACCAAGGGAGCACGGCAGACATAAATTTGTTGATTGGTCTTCCTGTGGTAGTGACGTATGCTGACGAATACGGTTATCCGCGAAAAATAGCGTGGGCTCAAGTAAATATCAAAGATGGCGGCATATGTACTTATTGACTGAGTGGGAGGGCCGTACGGGAAAATATTTGGCTCGAGGTCATGTAGTACGGACCGAGCGCAGCGAGGTCCGTACAAATGACCGAGAGCCAAATATTTTCCCGTACGGCCCGACCTAACTCAGTCAATAAGCATTTTATCATATGACCCTCACGAAAATAAAAATAATTAAGAAAAAGAAAGCGCGCGCATTCGAGCAGGGCCGGACGGGTTTTTCCGGCCCGCTTACGTCAACCCGTCCGGCCCCAATCACGTGACTTTTTCCAATGGTTTTATTAGAGCGCGCGAGCAGGGCCGTACGGGTCATATGATAATATATAATATTTATATTTATCATTCGCCATATTGTTTACGTATGAGCCCGCGCGACTTTTAAGTAACCGCATGCACGTCTATACCACAGGAGGACCAATCAATGAAATTATGTACCACAGGAAGACCAATCAACAAATTTATATCTGCCGTGCTCCCTTGGCCCAACCAAGGGAGCACGGCAGACATAAATTTGTTGATTGGTCTTCCTGTGGTACATAATTTAATTGATTGCTCTTCCTGTGGTATGGACTAGACTCTTCCACAGTCTCTCGCTCGTCCGTACCGTCTCCACGCTTAGAGACTGTAACGGTACAATGACCGAAAGGACTTATGGGTCCCGAAAACTTGGACCCAGCGTCCTTTGGGAACCAAAATACTCGTCCACAGTCTCTCTCGTTTTCGCCGCCATCTTGAAAATATTGAAACGAGAGAGACTGTGGACAAGTATTTTGGTTCCCAAAGGACGCTGGGTCCAAGTTTTCGGGACCCATAAGTCCTTTCGGTCATTGTACCGTTACAGTCTCTAAGCGTGGAGACGGTACGGACGAGCGAGAGACTGTGGAGGAGTCTATGGTATGGACGTGAATGCGGTTTCTTAAAAATCGCGCGGGCTCATAAGTAAACAAATATGGCGGATGATAAATATAAATGAAATTTGATATATATGGGGTAAAATACCGGTCAAAAATACGTGTAGTATATATGTATTATACAAGTATCATACATGTAATGGCGTTTGGAACGTGTACTTAAATACATGCTTTCAATTAAATACAGGTTTGTTAAACATGTATTTATAAAGAAAGTGACAAGATACATGTGTCTGGTACATGTATCACGTTCTTGATACATGTATTGAAAACAAAGAGACAGGACGTGATTGGTTGGTACGTGTATCACAGTAACGTTGAATACAGGACATGATTGGTTGTTTTATTAATCCGTTTTAGTTAATGAAATACAAGCGAGGGTTGAAAGTGACAGATATTATTATACTTGACCATGTTGAAAACCTTTTAATAACTAAGAGGTCAACAGGCATGAATAACTACTAAGTAAAGTATACTAGTCGTTACTAACTGCAAAATGAGTGGCTTTTCAGGTCCGAACAGGCATTAAATAACTACTAAGTAAAGTATACTAGTCGTTACTGACTGCAAAATGAGTGGTTTTCCATAAGAAATATCAAAGTTTCTTGAAGTAAACTCTTCACTAAGTGCTGAGGTTAAAAAAATACACAGAATCAAATTGTTGATGAGCTATTATATTACCAAGAACGTCTCTAAGCCCACTATGAAATATGCTGCTTTATAGTCTCACAGTTAAACATCGAAGGACAGCTTCCTTCAGTATTAAATGACGATGTGCAACCAAATTGCCGTTCTGGTTAAATAACTTTCATCAAACTGTGAGACGTCTTCATAAAAATAACACGGGGGCAATCAACGGACATGCGATCATAACTTTGTAATATTTTTGCGACGAAAGAGATATACCGGGATGGAACAGACTTACGAGTTTATGGAGGAAGTTGGAGGAACTTGAGGGCTCTATCTAATTTTTTTTCTACTGGTTTTTTGTTTCCATTGAATTTTCCCCAAATAGATTGTATTGTTTACATCTATTATCTTTGGAGGTATAGTATTTCTCTAACATTCAGCATAGTAGAAATCTGACGTCGAAGCATCCTGGCCATATTCTTGTACATGCGCAGTCAATGTCACAGAAAGTGTCGAGTTCTATTGTTGAAAACAATAGCTTACTTGTATTTGATACACGTGTATTTTGACCAAGGGAGCACGGCAGACATAAATTTGTTGATTGGTTTTCCTGTGGTAATGACGTATGCTGACGAATACGGTTATCCGCGAAAAATAGCGTGGGCTTAAGTAAATATCAAAGATGGCGGCATATTTAACAAATTTACGATGGTTGAGCGTGGTATGTCCTCTTATTTACCACGATATGACGTCAAAAGTTGGTCAAAATGTTATGGACTCACGAGGCGTAAGCCGAGTGGATCCATAACTAATTTTGACCAACGTTTGGCGTCATATCGTGGTAAATAAGAGGACATACCACGCTAAACCATCGTAAATTTGTTTTTTACTACAAAACTCACAAAACTCTAGGAAATAGACTGCACGAAATCTTGCATGACGCCATTTGTTGGTATGGCCTCTTATTTACGACGTTTTTTAACCAATCAGCGCGCGAGAAAATTTACAATTGTGGTAAAAATAATATTGACGGGGAATGCAACTTTTTCAAACTTTTCGACAATGCTACGTCAGGTTGCCAGGGCCACTTGGGTTGYCAGGGCCAGTTAATGAGCTAAATTATTGCTAATGTATGCGTCCAGGTCGACTCGGTCAATGGGTATTTCATCTATTTGCTCTTTGGTTTTACGAAACTTCAACAGTTTGTTCGCCGCAAGTTCACATCTTGGTGAATTTTGGGACTTCAAAGTGAAATTGATTAGCGATCTTTCAGGCTGATAATACTGTAGCTTCAAAAACTCAAATCCACAATTTCGAAAACAATTTCATCACACAGCAGAATGATAAGTTACTCTGATAACTCTGTAAGTTCTAGATACAATTTTCAAAAAGTCTAGTTTAGTGTAAATATGCAATTCTAGTAAATATTTGAATCCTTGAAAGCGAAATAACTTTAATTGTTGATTGATCGACCTCGTACTTTTAGTGCTTCATTGTTTTTTTGTTTTGTTTTGTTTTTTGCTTTTTTGTATTTACATCCTGTTCTTTGCCTTTTTAGCTTTATACTAAGGCTGTTAATAATTGGCAGACGAATATCGTTTTTTACATGTATTAAAATCTACTTTTATAATTGCAATTGAAGTAATTTTTATTCGCCAAAAGACAAAGGCTTGCTGTTGCCTTTTACGCTAGAATAAAATCAAGTTTTTACGACTGACAAGACGATTAAAATTCTATCATTAGTAACCAACACACGGAAATCCTTTTTACAGCCTCTTTATTTGCTTTGAAGGCAATAATTATTCCGTGTTTGGATTTTTTCGGTAGCAATGCCAAAAAATTAATGTAAATTGACTTCCTTTCTTTCTCTCCTCTTTTATAATTTCCTTCAATAAAAAAGTTTTGAAGGCCTGCATTTCATATGATATAAAACACACTAAATCCAATAATAACTGAAGAAAAAGCCTTTGTTTGTCTGACCCAGACAAAGCACCATTAAAAGAAAAAAAAGCAACAAAATTAAGAAAACAAAGTGAAGACATTTTGGTTTCCGGTATGCAAATGTTTGAAATAAATTATCTTCCAGGCTGTTTTAAGGTGACTGCCTAGTTTTGGAAATTGATTTAAGCTTTTCTTAAAACTTCGATTTTCCGAATTGAAATTTAATGCTGATTCCAAATCTGGAAAGAAAAAGAGGGTGTCCCGAGCTCGTTTTCGAGATAATCAGCATTTAATGGGAGCCTACGCACGAGCTTTTGGAGTAAAAATTACGCCACCGGAAGTGATTAGAAAAGAAAAAAAAGATTCATAAGATAATAGTTATTTGCAGACTATATGATTGCACGAACGAAGGCTAGTCAATCCTTCTACAATAAAACATGGATATTTTCGACAAAAAGACAGGGAGATACATTGATTTGTCATATTTTGTAGTTTCGGTGCTCTTAAAAAATCTCATAAAGTCGAACAAAAATCCGTACAAAATCTATTTTTTCACGTGTTCCTGATTTAAACTTTTCCTAAAATGTTGATATAACCTTGATTTTTAGGAGTTTTTTCGAATGAGCTATCAAAAAATATCCCGTGCAAAATTTGAGGGTTTTGCCCTGTTGAAGCTCAAAACGCGTATGGTTCTTCAATAAAATCTTGTAGATTTTTCAGCGGTTTTTGAGCGCGCGCACATCGTACATACATATACATGCATACATACTTTATTCGTCCTCTATAAGGCTTTTCAGAATAAAGGGCCTAATTAATTACAATTAAAATAATACTATATATAATTATATAAGAAGCAAAAAGAAAAGATCAAAGAATAAAGTAAATAAATAAATAGATAAATA